AATAATATCTAATACCTGTTTTTTTTTAACAACAATTCTTAAAATGTTTATTTTATTTAATATATGGAGATCTGGGGGAGGGGTGGGATTACCGAGCTCCAAGATGAACACTTACCCTAGGAGCTCTGCTCACCCGCCGGGAGGGAATCCACTGACATCAGTGCCTCCACAGTTCCTGTACAGCCCCAGCCACCATCCATAGCTTCCATATCACTCAGCCGCCGGGGGGGAATCCACTGACATCGGAGCCTCTACTGCTCCTACACAGCCACAATCACAGCCAGCATTCGCAGCTCCCAGAACACAGATGACATGACAGAAATGCTACTCTCTCTGAGGGCATCCTTACATGCTGATATAGTGTCAGAAGTTACTGCCAAGCAGATGTCCAGGCCCTGGGGGATAGGGTAGGTCATATTGAGAACACCATGGGCAAACACTCTACATCCTTCAACACCCTGGTAGATGCCCACAATGATCAAAAGGAAGAAATTGTCTGGCTAAAAAGATAAAATAGCAGACTTAGAAGAAAGGTCTAGAAGAAACAACATAAAGATCAGGGGCATCTCAGAGTCTGCTGCTGCCCCTCAACTGCAGCAATATGTCCAAAATCCGTTTTCTTCACTGGCACCATCACTATCTGCACATGAACACACAGTAAATAGGGTTCATAGAGTGCAAAGGCCCTCCTTCCTCCTTGCTGAGATACCCAGGGATGTCCTGTTAAGGGTGCACTTCTATCATGTAAATCAGCAGCTGCTGGCCACATTCCACAGAGATCATAATGCCCTGGATCAGTCTGACCATGCCACGATATGTATGACAATAAGAGAACAGGATGCCCCCCCCATCTGGCGTTGCAACATAAGGCTCCTTTAACAGGCCTCAGTTAAAGACCCCATGTACTCTATGGAATGCCCATAAGGCTTTAATGAGAGGCATCCTTATACAACAGGGGCTAGGGCAAAAAAAATGCTACATGTTTAACCACTTTCCCTCCTGAGGATTTACCTCCCTTTCTGACCAGGACATTTTTTGCAAAACAACACTGCATTACTTTAACTGACAATTGTGCAGTCATGAAATGCTGCACCCAAATGAAATTTATGTCCTTTTTCCCCCACAAATAGAGCTTTCTTTTTGCGCAATAAAAAAAGAACAACAATTTGAAAAAAAAAAAAACAATATTTTTGACTTTTTGCTATAAAACATATCCAGTAAAAAAATGTAAATCAAATTTTGTCATAAATTAGGGCAAAATGTATTCTGCTACATGTCTTTGTACATTGTCCTGAACACACCAAAACACCTTCTCTCCTGTTTTCTATAGATGCAGAGAAGGATTTAGACAGGTTCCATTGGCAATACAACACATATATAATGGTATTATCCAAGTTTGGATTCCAAAGTTCTATATTGTCTGCTATTCTAGCATTTTATTCCTGCCCAACTGCACAGGTTTATACGCCAGGCTTCTTATCTCTTAAACATTTAATATTTCAAATGGGACTCGACAAGGTTGCCCTCTCTCCCCTACCATCTTCAACTTAATGATAGAGTCCCTAGCAGAAGTGATTTGTTTGCACCCTCTCATTACTGGTTTCAAGTTTACCCCAACTTTTCTGTGTTTCGGGTATTACCTATTCCTATACCCACTCACTACTTCAAAACCATGTCCAGTCTGCTATGAAAATTAATTTAGAGCAGCAAGAAAGCCAGATGTTCAAACTCAAATTTGATTCTGCATAGGTCAGTGGGAGGTGCTGGACTGGTTGATATTTGTGATTATTATTGGGGCGGTCAGGATCAAATTAAGTATTGGTTTCAGGGTGCTGATGACCCACTGTGGCTAGATGTTGAGACAGCCCTGGCACCCACTCATGACCTACTCTCTCTTCTTATGGGGCGATCTATGGATGCCTTTGGATATCTTTACCTCCACCCATGCAGGCATCCTTACTGGCCTGGAGATCCCTACACAATCAACATACAAACACAATAAAAAATACTCTCTACACATGCTAGAAGCCATGATACCCATGTTCTTTACTAGTTCGTTTCATAGCTATGGTCTAAACTCGGTACAAGACTTTATAAGTGACTCCATACCCAAGGATGTAGAGGCTCTGGTAACAGAGTTTGGCCTCCAAACAGTGGTATATTTTACATGCTCCCATATCTTACACTTTTTAAGTAAACATCCCATTCCAGAGTTACACATACATCACAAAGCTTGGAAATGCAATACCTCTCAAAAACTGATTGAAAAAGGTATACTATATTAAAAGATAAACTAACATTTAAAAAGACAGATACAATTCTGAAATGGGAAACTGATCTACATTCCTCCTTCACCCCGAACCAATGGCAGCCAGCTTTTCAGGAAACCTATAAAGCAACGCATTGCGTCAATCATTGGGAGGTGATGTTCGAAATCACTAATAGATGGCATTACACTCCTTACAGACTAGCCACATTCTTTCCATCCACGTCCCCCAAGTGCTGGCGCAAATGCAGTCAGGTAAGACTCTTGTTACATACATTTTGGGGCTGTCCATGTCTAAAGAGCTTCCGCAAAAAGATTTTCCAACATATATCCTCACTCACAGGGATCCTCTCCTCTCTAAATCTAGGTATAGCAATTTTCAACGTTGGTATAGATGCCTACCCATGCTCTTTCAGATCTGATGTCTCTCAGGTGCTATTAGTAGCCTGATTGCTTTTGCTTTGAAAAAAGAAATTGAACTAATCGCTTAACATTTCAGAAGTAATGGTAATAGTTCAGAAAAATGATACCTATGAGCTTCTACTGGTTATCAACTCCCTCACTTTTGCAACATTAGAGCAGGCTTGGGCTATATGACCACTAAATACAGTTTGGTCTCACTAGACTTTAAACAATATGTTGCAATAACAGAATTGTCTATAAGCATAACATCTCCTTACACTGTTGAAATGAAGCACAGTACTGTTGTCTCAACTTGTGTACCTATCCTGTTTGCATACCCTATAAAAATGTTCAACAAACATTGTTGATACAAAAAAAATATAGATTTCTGTAAGTTTTGCTGGGATCCCTCACTTCCTGAAAATCATATCTTCTTAGATGCAACATCTCTATGCCTGCTTCAGCTTTCGCTCTCCACTTAGCCATGCCAAATACCCTGCATGTCACTTGTGTGCACAGACTGTGCACAGACTGTCAGCTTCGGTAATAGAAGAAAACATTGAGCTGGGAGCTGGCTGCAACAGCAAGAGCAAGCCAGAAAACATAAATGCCCCTGAAATAGAACATTTAAAACTTCTACTGTGGGATCCCCAATGAGTGAGTCCTGCATCAACCTTCTGACACGACATCATAAGGCTGATTGTGTTGTCCCATTTGTTCAAGTTAAGTTTATTGGGTTTCGTTATGATTATAACAGGCTTGAGCAAATTAGAATCTGACCACTTACTTCCCAACCATTGAATTCAGTGTTTTTACAGAGATTAAATACCTGGGGCCATTAAAAGTCACCAACGTTCTCATGAATACAAGCCTAGTGCTATGAGGTTCAAAATCTTATAATTCTAAACCCAGGACCCTGGATTCACTATATCTGGTCTCCCACAGTACACAGAACATGGAAATGCAATTATTTTAGTAAAAATAAACTGCTAAATACCTTTTCTAATCAGTAGTTATAGCAGTCTTGTGATTTATATTAGTGTCCAGCAGTGCACTGGTTACAGCTTGTAGGAGGAGTTTTTATTCTCCCCTATGAGGATGCAGGACCCCTGACCCGCTGTCTGGACAGTGCTGATTGGGTCTGTGCTGTGATCACCCTCCCGAGAAAAAATAACTCTAGCAATAGACACCAAATTGAGCATGTGCAACTTGACTCTGAGCCTCTGTTCTATTAGGAGATATTTAGAAGACACTGGAAGAAGGAGAGGATCAGAGAAGACAGGATCAAACATCCTTTTTACACAATGTGGAGGATTAACCCCCTGGGTTCCACAGTATACCAAGCATGCTTTACTGCATATGCAGACTGATTTTACTGTTTTGGGTTTAGTAACACTTTAAAAGGCTAATAAGAAAAACATATATGTTTTAACTCACAATCCCTTTGTAGTTTAGACATAAGCAAAGCAAAGGGTACAGCCTATTTGACTGGCAATAACCCTAAATGCACTGACAAGCCCAGGAGCAGCAAACAGTAAGCAGTTAGCAAACAGTTGTAACAGAAGGTAACATTTCTAATAAAACATATTACCTGTAGCAACTGTATATCAACCAGAGGGAAGTGTATCCTCCAATAATCTAATGTAAAAATGACCATTACATTACATACAAAAATTCCCCTTTTCTTCCTGTATTCTTTGGGGACATAGTCAGTCAATCTCCTACTGGAGATATCAAAAGTAGTCCCAGAAAAAAACAAATAGGGGAGGGTGGTTCCAAGGCAAGGCTCAAGCATCATAGCATTACCAGGTCTCCCATCCACCTGTAGGACCCGGCTTTTAAAGCTGGCATCTGCTGATACTGTCATATCCACACATTAAAACTTGGTGAATGTGCAAAAAACCATATAGATGAGCCTCCTTACATACCTGGAAAACTGATGCCTGATGCTGAAAGGCCCAGTTCACAGTCATGGCCCTTGAGGTGTAGGTAGTTACATGAAACAAAAGTTCCTGTCCTTGCAGGAAATATGCTTTCAAAATAGTCAGGCAAATCCAATTAGAGATTGCTGCACTGGATGCTGAGGATCTCTTGTGTAGATCATTCTGAATAGCAAGGAATCAATTTTCATAAAGTAAACTGCTGCTGCTATCAAATAAACTGTCATTGACCCAACTACATCTATTTGTTGCAAAGCAAACCCCCTTAGGATGTGAAGGAGATAGACAAAGAGAAAGCAACACAATGTCCTCATTGAGGTGAAAATAACACAAGCCTGTCAGCTATGAAACCCTTCAAGCTAAATTGATAAAAACAAGGGTGTCCACCTTCTGAGATAAGGTCATAAGAAGGATCTCCTGCATAGGTTTAAATTTGCATCAAGGAACCATAAAGAAGATGACTTTTGCAGACCCTGAGGGGAGGAAGGGTGTGGGGGGGGAAGAAAGGGAGGGACACACACCACCAGCACAACCCAGACCACACTATGGAAGACCTCAGACATACCATCAAGGAACATAAAGAAGATGACTTTTGCACACCTGTGGGACACAACCAGCACAACCAGACCACACTATGGAAGACCTCAATTTTTTACTTCTTAAAGGGAATTTAAAATTTATTCAGGAAAGGAAAACTTTTGAAATAAGAATGATAATTCTATTTGACACAAGAGATAACGGCCTTCATTTGGACATGGGATTCCTCACTCATTATCCAACAGTTTTATCACCCACTCTGTGAGTGTTGTACCCCCCCATCAGTCTTTGCTTTTTGCTGTGTCTTATCTACAGTCTAATCCTAGTCTTTTAACCATTGCTGTGTAGATCTGTTTGTGCATGTTTCTTTCTGTTTTTTTTTTTTTCCTCCCCCTTTCAACATCTCTCCTAACATTATGCTAAAACTTTGTAGTAGTACTGCCTGGACCTTGAAGAAGGGGACATACCCCAAAAGCTTGTCCTCAAAATTGTATGTTAGTGCAAATAAAAAAAGTATCACGTCAGTACTCAATTGTTTTCTGTTCACATGCTTGGGCGGTTTTGAAGGGTAAGGAGATATTGGATGGAAACGTGATTGCAGTGTCCGTCATTCACACCTGAGGCTTTTGGGAGACGTTGGACCTTTCAACAGGACAATGATCCCAAGCATACCTCCAAGTCCACTAGAGCATGGTTGCAATCCTGAACTCAGAGAGAACCAGAGAAACAGAATCAATGACATGACCAATGGTGAATTAAATCAAGGGTGTAAAGCCAAGGGTCACTGAAACAAGGCCACCAGAGATTAAATCTGTCACTTGATGGTACACCAGACACTCATCCATGAACAAATGAAAACAAATTTAGAATCTGAGTGACTAAAAATGCCCTAGGGATTAAGCCTGAAGTTTTAAGTTGAAGTTTGCCATAAATTTTGGACAAGAACAGAACATCCAGCAATTAACTTTTAAGGTTTAACCAAAGCCAACAGTTTTTTTAAAGATATGGATAAAGTACTCAAGGGTAAAAGCCACTGATTGTTTTTTATCAATATTCATTTTCCTATGCTCAATGGAAACTAGATTCCAGCAGCTATATCAAACATTCAAACAAGTGTCATGGACATGCATTATGACATACAGCACGATATGCTTTCAATAATGATACCCTTTAAATGTGTACCATCAATAGTGATAAATGTTAGATATGGTTACAAACTCAAATGGATTTTATAAAATTATATACAGCATAAACAGTGCCTTACACTTATGTGCAGATTCAAAAATGACTTCCAATGCAAACAAGTCATAAAAAAGTGTCCAGAACATAAAACAAAGTGCCATGCACTTGTAAATATCCACTGGTTGCACTCTTCACTACTGTGCAATAAGTTCCAAATTGTGCTTCATTCACTGCCAATGATGTATCTCCACCACCTTTGAAAACTCACCAAATGACTTTGACCTTCTCAGTAAGAGAGAGGGTCTACAAGCGCCTTGTAACCCTCAGAGTTATGCCTCCTTTACGGCTCCTCCAAATTCCCTTGACAAACGTCATGGGTAGAGTAAATGAAAGCCTCCATAGCCTAGAAATATTTTATTTGATTCATAAAGAACATTAACTGGTTGGTGTCCAGCCACTTTGGAAAAACGGCCACAAGGTGGCACTGCTGGGCAGAATCAAGTTTTAAAACGTGATATTGCAAAACAAGTAGGGGGCACGCGCTAGGCGCGCGACCACCCTACCCGTGCTGCTGATCACGGCTGCGGGTGTCAATCACTGGGTCCCGGCTGGTCATTACCCGCCGGCTCCCGGCGATTTCCGGCAAACAGTGACACAGAGCACAGCTGCATTGTTTACAATGCAGCTCTGCTCCCTGTCAGTTCCTAAGACACTGATCCTGAGAGCGGAGTTTAGCTCTCGGGATCAGTGTGTTCCTGTGAAGTACACACCCTCCGCCCACTAGTAAAACACTCCCCTCACACAGTTAACCCTTTGATTGAATAAAAATGTTAACCCCTTCCTCCCCAGTGCCATTAGTACAGTGTCAGTGTTATTTTTTGGCACTGATCACTGTATTGGTGTCACTGGGGATGTCAGTGACCCCAAGTCAGTTCCCCCATCCCCAGTGTCAAAATGTCCACCGCAGTCCCGCCATAAGTAGCTGATCACTATCATAAATCGCTAATCACCGCCATAAGTCACTGATTACCGCCATTATTAATATAAAAAAAATTTCCAGTATCTTTCGCTCCATTTGTAGATGCTATAGCTTTCACGTAAACCAATTAATTTACACGTATTGGGATTTTGTTTAGCAAAGACATGTCACAGAATACATTTTGACCAAAATTTATGACAAAATTTGATTTTTAAATTTTTTTACTGGACATGTTTTATAGCAAAAGTCCAAAATATTGTTTTTTTTTTCTCAAAATTGTCAGCCTTTTTTTTTTTAGCGCAAAAAATAAAAAACGCACAGGCGATCAAATACCACCAAAAGAAAGCTCAATTCGTGGGAAAAAAAGGACGTAAATTTAATTTGGGTGCAGTGTTGCATGACCACACAATTGTCAGTTAAAGTAACGCAGCGCTGTAACACAAACCGCTTCTGTAACCGCTTTCTGACTGGCCTATAGCAGAAATACTGCTACAGGGCGGCACGGGTCTGCAAAATCACACATACAGTATATATATACCTGATTTGCACATATATATATATATATATATATACACATGATTTGGTTTTCACGCCCCTCCCAGATAGCGCCAGATTGCCCATCAGTACACCAGTCATCACACTTAACCCCTTGATTGCCAGGAAAACGCTCATGCACAATAAACCTCCATTGCTAGTATAGTGTCTGAATGGATCAATATCTTTGATCAGATCAGCACTATACCAGCGTTCACATTAGTATAGCGTCCCCAAAAATGCAGCATTGGTGGGATCAGCCCCGACACCTGCCAGCACCTGCGTTTAGCCCCTACGCTTACCCCCTTCTCCCCCAGCAAGTGCGGTGTCAGTAGGTCACGGTCAATTGATACATTGCACACAAAACTGCAGTGTTTGCAGAATCAGGCCTGATCTCTGTTAGCACTTGCCGGTAAATTTTGATGACTCTCATATGCAGCAGAGTGCCAGTACTAGTGCCGCGCTACCTTTTGGTGAACTGGCGAGTACCAGCGGTCTAGTACATCTTGGTCTTTCACATACCTCTTACATTGTAAGCTCCCAAGATCAGGGCCCTCCTAACCCTCTTGTATTGAACTGTATAGTCTCCAGTTATACTGTAAAGCGCTGAGCAAACTGTTAGCGCTATATAAATCCTGTATAATAGTAATAATAATACCAGCACTGCAGTAGGACTTCGTGAGTCCCATAAGTCCAGTACAAGCCAGTGTGGTGGCGAGCACAAATATTGCCCACAGCCAACAAGAATTTGCACACAGGCCCATAGAGCTCCTAGTATCCTTCCGGATGTGCTTGCAAATCCTGATTGACAGCCCACAAATTCTGCAGCACCCGTACTTTCCCCATTCACTGCCCAACCCGGAATTCAGGTGGAAACAGCAAATTTAACTACTCCCCTTGATTTTTGGAGCTGTTTTTCATGGAATATCTGTATGCGTTGATTTTGGATCAAAGCAATTTATATGCACAACAATTTATCGCCGCCAACTCAAATTCGCTCAAATTCAAACCTTGCCAGACCAGTCGCATGGAAACTCATTACGGTTTCCAAATTTACATTTTTTTGGGCCTAACCCTCAAGATGGGCATTACTAAAAGAAATGAATTGCGGTTGTATTGGTCTGCAGACCCAATTCATCATATACCCGTGTTCTCTGCTGCCATGGCCAGGCATAGATATGAGAGTATAATGTGTTTTATGCATTTCAACGACAATACACTCTGTCATCCTCGGAGTGATCCTGAATTTGATTGGCTTCACAAAATTCAGCCCTTCACAAATCACCTTAACCAAAAATTTGCAGATGTCTATACTCCCCAGCAAAACATCTGCGTTAATGAGTTCCTGATTAATTCTTCTGGCCGCCTTGCATTCAAGCAATTTCTCCCCAGCAAGAGTGCCAGATATGGGGTCAAGATGTAGAAGACCTGTGAGAGGACAACAGGCTATACTTATACGTTTCGGATTTACATGGAGCCCGGATGCCCAGACTACATGGGGAGCAGTGGCAAGATAGTTTGGGACTTGGTGTCATCCTTTTTCCATATGGGGTACCACTTATACATGGACAATTTTTATTCAAGCGTTCCACTATTTAGACATTTGTACAATCTTGGAACTGGCGCATGTGGCAAAGTGTGACCTAATGTGTGCCCACCATTAGAAGTGGGTGGATGCAGGGCGGTATATTCTAATGGTGGGCATACCACACACTTTTTCTGGCAGAGATTTCTTCTCTTTTTTTCATTCAGTCCACAGGCTGCATACAAAAAAAAAAAAAGAACATAGCATATACACCCAACAAGAACCAGCGACATACTGGTACATCACTGGACTTTGAATGGTTATACCAGGATGATGCTTACAGCTGCAGGCATCGTCCTGCTATTTTTTTTTTTCAGCTGGCGATCGGCTTTCATGTAAAAACAATCCTAGTGGCTAATTAGCTGCAGGATTGCTTTTACAAGCAGCGGGATATGATGACCCCCTCCCCTGCTGCCTTCCACGGCCTTCTCGGGCAGTCCCGTGCCATCGGGGGAACCTGAGAATGCAGCCGGTGTTTCTGCCAGCTGACCATAGAGCTGATTGGAGACCATAGTGGTGCCAATCATCTCTATAGTCTAAGAATTCGGAAGCTACGAGCATTTTATCACTTCAGTTTCGCAGGATATAAACATTTGAAAATTGGGAAAGCATCTGATCACACCGATTTTGGTTTGATTAGATAATATAAGGGCAGAGGAGATATCTAGAGTCTGATAGACCCCAGATTTCTCAAAAAAAGAATATATGACAATGCCCATTGAAGTTATAGGGGATATTTGCATTCCCTGTGATAGTATTAAAAGTGATCAAAAAAAAAAATGAAAGGTACAGTGTAAAAATAATTTTAAAAATCTAAATAACTTAAAAAAAAAACCCTCGCCCCTCCCATGGTAGCTTTTAACCTCCTTGGCGGTATGATTCTTTCCGATTTTTGGTGCTGAAAGCGGTACCATTTTTTTGCATGGAAATATGTAGTTTTTTTATTGTAGGCCTGTAATTCTTAGGAATAACTCACTGAAATCTGTCCGAACAAGAGTCTAGTAAACATCCCGGGTAGGATAAAATTTGAAACACGTAATCATAAATTATAATT